TATTAAGGGATAGAAGGACCTAGGAGTCATTGTCAGCAATCATTTAAAAACAACTATGAATTGCAATGTAGCCTCAGCTAAGGCTTTTTGAGTGCTATGGGCACACCTAATACCTTTCAAACCATTAGATGAGTGTATGCTCCAAATACTCTACGCAACATATTTCAGGCCTCATCTAGAATACTACATACAAGCAGCTATTCCATGCCTCAAGAATAAGGGATATATCCTAGAACCAAATTAGTTAGTGGTATCTCAGACCTTCCTTATGACAAAATAATGGAGCACTTAAATCTCTTCCCTTTATCATAATGAAAGAAGAGAGGCGAATTAATCTTAGCATACCGCATACTTAAGGGAGATTTAGGAACTAACCTTTCTAACCTTTTCTCCCCTTTTATGATACCTTTACGGGGTCACAGCAAAAGATGCTCAAGCTGAGGACGATTAAAATACTTGAGGAATTTAGTTTCTGTCACACAGTTGTCAACGACTGGAACTCCTAACCTGATTCACTAGTGTCAGCTTCATCGGTGAACGCTTTCAAAGAGAAGTTAAACCTCTGCAGAGACATATATCACAAGGATTGACATAGGCCATAAGAGCCTACAATCCTTATCATCTGAATCCAGACGAAACTGCGCATAAAAATACTGAGGTTTACTATGATCTTGATAACAAGGTTACATCTAACTCTTAGTTCAAGTGATATGAAAACAATTTCATATCAGATTTTGTTGGCTAAGATGATCCTTGAAAAGCGTACTTCCTTCCTAGCAAATTGGGCTTACTGTAGCATGATTTTACCTCAAAATTCAAACGTTTGCAAATTCCGCACCCCACTGGTGATTGTTCATCCCTCTTTAATTCACAATTTCCCTATTGTAAGTTGGTCATGAATAAAAATGATAATCTTCCCGCACTCACGCTTCTACGGCCAATCGTGAATGTAAGCAATATAAGGATCGAAATGCTTGCCCTGCGGTCAATTTAAAGCAAAAATACTAATGTGCAATAAGCAGCCACACAAGTTTGCAGTCATTAAGATGTTGATATCCAGCCGCTTGGAACAAGATCAAACGGGAACACTAAATGGCATCTCTGATGAGTATCAGCGAATTACCAATCTCCAGGATGATAGGAGTTTGGTCCAGTGCCGATACCAGGATGATGATGGAGTACACGCATTTCGCTAGAAATCACCTACGATCACTTTACCTTCTGGTCAGGCCTACGTGAGCTCTACTTCCGTCACCGATATCCTAATTACTCGTACGACACCGACCCATGTTCAGAGGAAAAATCAGCATCATTCTATTAGAAATTCAAGAAATCTTGTTTAAGTAGACGACACTGATGCCAAGACATTCCTCACATCTGGGTCCAGTTTGCGTTATGGTCTGGAAATAATCTCACAGAACATCACTTCATCTTACCGCTTAATCTTGAGAACAGTTTATTCTCCACAGACCTAGTCGACTTTAATGTGGTTAAAAACATTTGTATATGCGCTTACCCTCATAAAATGTCTTCTCCCAATGCTTCTTACTTTTGTGACTATAATATCATCTTTAGAAGAGACAAATTACTTGGAAACCGCACTGATGTTTCCGCACCTTACTGACCGATGTTTGGCAGTAGTCTGCTGTTCACTGGGAGGTGTGTGCTACCCGCTGAATCCTCCTTGTGCTTCGGTCTGTGGGTGTACTTCAATTCACCCAGGAGAATATCATGAGTCTTTACCTTTTGTCGAAAGATGAACGCCATCGCGTCTGGTTTTTGTGTTGTGTTCCAATGTCGAACGATTTTCGAGACTTATGATGACTAGCTACTAGACATTGAAGTCTCGTGAGCGGTCCGTGACCCCTACTCATCAGTACACGGTAAGCTATGGCACACATGAGAACGTCCTGCTGTTCAAGAAGGCGGGTTTTGACCTCAACTTACGGTGATTCAGCATATAGCACAGGTCTGTTTCATCGTAAAACAGGCGCAGTGCCATCTTGCAGGCATAAAGTCGCTTGCAAAAATTTTGAGACAACTAAATGGGGCTCGAAAAGGTCGGGGGAATATTGGCTGATGTGTGAAACGGTACCTTAGTTTGTGGCTTGATTACGAAAGCATTTAGCCGTACGTTTGATGATTCAGGAAAGTCGAACCAACTGAGACCGCGAAGGTTTAGACTGAAGTCAATGAGATGGCGGGCCGTATACATAATGGTAGTGCAAAAAGAAACTTTGCAAAAGAACTTCATTCACCATATGCACTGGTAGAAGTGCAAGTTTTCTGAAGAAGAGATCATTCGATTTCGCACTATAGCTGTCTGGAGATGATCGTGATATCTAGTGCTGTATCTACCCGTAAATGCACCGGATGGTCATTTATGAACTTTTTGTGGTCTGGTGCATGGACATGTGAAGCGGCTTTGATGTTTAGGTATTGAGTTGCTAATCAAGACCTGCTTATGTGGCTACTTCTCGAGGGAAGCCGATGTGAATATTGTTGTGTGGTGTTTGAAAAGACAGTCTTTATGTCCAACAATTTCTCAGCTTTGTCACCTGTGTTGTTAAAAAGTACAGGATTTTCAGAAACAGTAGGCCACCAGGTTGATGGAGGTTTCTTCTTTGGGCATCAGTTGGGACTACGTGAGGAACCGGGATGACTAGCAGTCAAGGTAGGACTGTTGTGTGGTTGGCCACAGATGGACGCAGGATTTAGAGAGGTCTGGCAAACTGCATTGATTTTGGGGCCACTCCACAGTCCAGATTAGACTAAACAGGTAATGGACTGGAGACTGTCCAGCCGCTGATATTTTGAAGCGTTACGGTCAGTCCTGGTGCCAAGAGGTTCAGCAGCGATATTCCGATGTCATCAAACTTGTTCATATGTATGTATGTGTACCTATGAGAGAAATAATGATATTTATATGCACAGCCAATAAAATAGTCATGGGAAAGTGTAGTCAATAAGCATGATTACTTGACCATTGACATGAGCTTGATAAAAAGTAATTCACTGGTTGTCTGTCTAGTTGTTTACGTGACGACTCCTTGACCCATTTCCCAGACAACCAATCCGTTGTTATAACGCCTGGATTTTATGGGAAATGTAACATTTGTCTAGTCTCTATAAATGTACAGATTGGACACATGCTAATGGAGGATCAAGATAAAGCCCTTCAAACTACAGGCCTATTAGTCTCACAAGCACTTGAATCAAGGCACTGCAAAGAATCATCAAGAAAAGCATCATGACATATCTGGAAAACAGCAGCTTGTAATCCAGAACACAGCATGGCTTCCGAAGAAACCTCTCATGCATGTCAAATCTCCTCACTGCAAGAGAAAGCAGGGTCAAATGAAGGGGCAATAGAAAACCCGTTGACGTCGTCTTCACAGACTTCAGCAAAGTCCTTGATAAAGTACCTCACAAAAGACTACTCATGAAGTTGGAAAGTCTTGGTATCAAAGTCAGATTGCTAAAATGGCTCAGGGAATTCCTCATAGATAGGAGGCAGAGGGTTGGGATCAACTGGAAACTCTCCTCTTGGACAGCAGTACGTAGCGCAGTGCCACAAGGCATGGTACTCGGACCTCTCCTATTTGTTTTGTATATAAATGAGTTATCTCTGCTCACTATACGCAGATGACTTAAGAATTTGGTGGGAGCCGAAGGGTAACAATGACACATTGGAGGAAGACCTCAACAAATTGTCAGAGTGGTCCGGAGAATGGATGATCCCGATCAGTGTTGCAAAATGTGCAACCATGCGCATCGGACACACAAGCATCAGCTCCTAGGAACTAGAGGGAATAACACTTCCAGAAGTTCAGACTCATTTGGATTTAGGTGTTATAGTTAGTTACGATTAAAAAACTACAGCACACAGTCGCGCGGTGTCTACACGTAGTTTCAGGTCCTTATGGGCAATTCACAGAGCCTTTACTAGAATCACCAGAGATATGTTCACCTCCTTATATACATCTCTGGTCAGTTCAAGACCGACAGGCAGCCAGTCCTTGTATTAAAGGGGACTCACCAATTCTAGAAATGGTTCAAAGGAAGGCAATGCTTATGGTTCAAGGCATGACTAACTTATCATACGAGGAAAGACTAAAAAGTTTAAATCTCTGCTCCCTGTCTTACCGTAGGCAGAGAGAAGATTTAATTACAATGTTTAAAATTTTAAATGATGACCTATTCTCTCTTTCCCTTCCTACCTTAAAATACATAGCAGGAGAGTTCAAAAGACGAGGAGAAACCATATTGCTGTGGTGTACTGTTTCTCACACAGAGTCATAAACTCCTGGAACCGACTTCCAGAAGAAGTGGTGTCTGCAACCTCAACTGATTCATTCAAGAAAGGTTTGGGTAAGCACAGAAATTTACTAGAAAAGGATTAACATAGGCTCCAAGCTTTCTATCCTCAACCAATGAATCAGAATCAGAATATACGTTAAAATGTTCGTATCAGATCTGCACCAAAATTTAAGTGTTAATGATGGAGAACACTACTGATAGTTATTATAAAATACTAGACTAAATCATGAGATAATAGAATGAAGTAAAATTATGGTCAGGATGTTACTCTGGCGATGGTTAAGCTACTGAAAATATATGAATCTATTGAACACAGAGGTAAGATTTCACATCTTAGCCAAACAGTGATTCTACCACCTATCTAACTTCCTTTGAATTACTCCACATTTGACATAATTTATTCTTTATATTTCAGTGCCATAGTTTCACTGAACTGTAAATAATGGACACATCATTCGTACAGCTTTTGATAGAAGTTAAAAAATATCAGTTTTGAAGCATTCTTCGTTAAACTTGAGTCTGCTGTTGCACAACATGTTGAAATTACTAGTAAAAAAAATTGATACGCCATCATGCCGTCTTATGCTCATAAGTCACTATGTGAATGTTTCTTTACATAAGTTGATACTAGTGAACAATGATATGAGGTTATCTTCACCTAATTCACTAATCATCTTTGAGGTCATACTAACACAATCACCGGCGTTACTTACAAAAATTGATGTCGGTGTATGGAGGGATGCTAGACATACTTAACCTGAGGAAAAGCGGTTATCTCTGTGGATTATGTAGCTGTAGTATTAAAGGAGAAAATTGTACACCGAAGTCCTGTAGTCATATTTTCCATATTAATTGTCTGGAAGAATGGGCTAGTGCAATTGATTCTTCGTCGGAGTTTGCTTGTCCGGTATCAGGATGTTCGTCTTCGTTTAGTGAAATTCTTATTCGCAAGGCGCCTGGTGCAATAAACTTCACCACTACATCTCTAAAGGAAGACCACCAGTGTCCAATTTGTTGTGAAAAAATTCAAAAGCCTGTAGCAACTCCAGAATCATGCAATCATGCATTTTGTTATATGTGTCTAAAGGAGTGGTCACGTGTTAGACATGAATGTCCGCTAGATCGAGGATCTTATGAACTAATCCTACTTTCTGATCGTGTGGGTGGTCCAATTACCAAGCGGGTATGTCTTTCATTATTGTTGTATCCTAGGGTTCACCTGGTTGTATTTTTCGCATTGTTACAATGACATGTAGTTATCTCTTTTTAACGGTTATTTTGGTTGATTTGGAGTATATTCACTACAAATATATAAAGGCAGGAATCTACTTTTGTGCTTTTGGAATTCTTGTTTTCAAAAGCTAATTACACATGGAGTTATTCATTTGGTGGAGTCATTGCCAATACATGTGGCTGTACACTTAGTGGTGCTAAAATTAATTCACCGCCTTACTAAAATCGTGACATATTTAAGTCAAATCACAGCAATAGTCTGTCGTCTCACTGATATGCAGTCTTCTTAAGTTAGGTCATCTGCAGTTCAAGGTTAGTAAGTTTAGCTAGTTGGTAAGTCAGCGAATACGTACTAAGTGAGCTGACAGAGACAAGGATTATGCTCATTCATCTCCGATGTATAACTTTAATATAATTAGGACTAAAGCAGAAGTCAGGCTGGATTGTAACAAGCACGCCACCAACTTGAAAAGCCATGAGATGTCGGTGTTATCTGTAAGCTTACAGTTACTCAGCGGAGCTCTCAGGAATTTAGAAAACTGATTGTAAATATTGAATGACGTGACAGATGAGTGTGTCATTGTATTAATTCATGGTAATGCATTAGTTTGGTTACCGTACTTCATAATACACACAGCGAGGCAGTGAACAATATTCACAGATTATGTGGGAAGATGGAACAACTAATTTCTTCATATTTCCCACCTCTAACAGTCACGTTTCCAAGTCATAAGGACGGCGCGACTTACAGCGCAGTACACTTTCTTTAATCGATAGTCGGATATCACGCATTCGCCAAAGGTGACCTGACTTGATAAGTGCTATACAAACCTTTTGTTTCCATGTTCAGATTTCGTCAGAAGCCATTGATTTTGTTCACTGGATAGGATCTTACTGTGTAATGTGTGTCCTTGAGATGTTTATTAACATGGATAGCCACAACACCCTAGGTGTTGTTCTCACTATTTCTCATTGATCTAACCGCTTACGACTTTCCGAATGGTATGCTTAGTGATGGTTTAGGTTTGGATATATACTATCGTATGTTTCTGACTGCTGCTGTTACTTGCATGCATCCATTTGCAACGGAATGGCTTTGAAAGCCGATTTTGCTTATTCAGACGTGGTTTTTCAATCAATAATGGCAGCTTAAAACGTTTACTTCGTTAGCTAGAACGTGTGTCACCGTTTGCCGAACTTGGGTCTGGTTGAAAAAAGCGAAGTGGAGTATAAAACGTTCCATTTCTTTTAACCAACTGCTTGTTTTTAAATAAAATAAAGTATAAACCATCTGTTTTTAGTTCATTTATTCCGTACATTTATTAATTCAGTCACTTATGCAACCACATGGTGTGAACAGCATTTTGAAAAGCATCTCCCCTCTTGGCTGGGAAAGAGTGGGGTAAAGTGTGTGGAAAGCTCTATTTCCTCTCATCTGGTGAACAAAAACAGATGCATTCAAGGTGACTTATTGCAACCCTCTGAACACCTACTGAAATTCTTATTCATCTCTCACCTATCTGAAGCTATAAGTACTTGGATAAATAATTTCTGTCTGGAGTGTGGCGACTTGAACTGCTGCACATCGGTGCTAAGCTCTATGTCGAAAGCAGACAGACAGAAAAAAATAAATGAATCCCTATGTCCCTTTGGTTTTGACAAAAATTTTGCTGTCATTTTTTAATACCCTCATTGCATTATCATTCAAATTTTGTTTACCCACCCCAACGTTTTTATAAGCTGTGGAATTTACCATCTTTTTCCTCGGTCGTGCTGTTTCCAATACTCTTATCTTACATCTTAACTATTTTTAATTACCATCAAGCACAGTTGACATCCTTATCATCCTCACAATGTGTGAAGTTGTACATGCTGAACTCGCTTGGAAATCTTACACATTATTCGTCAAAATGCTTTGAAAAATGTACAGTTAGTTAACATTCCCGAGATCCAAATTAATGTCTTCAGTGTACTTCATGTCAAACAAAAAGTATACAGGGATAAATCTACATAAAATTAGAAGAAGAAAGAGTATTCTTCTTAACTATATTTGTGAAAGAGCTGAAATAAAGGAAATACTTCTGACGTAAATAAATCAACATATTCCGTTTACCGTTTAAGTATTCTTAAGTATTGTGCTGTACCCACTAGGCTTTTTAGATTAATAAAGTTGTCAGGCTAAGACATATGTAGGGTAGCAATGCGTACACTTGTATCTTAGCCTAGTTGGATACGCTCATGATCGGTGTAAGGGAATAATTCGTTCTTTTCAGGTTCACAGGCATCAGAACTAATTTCAAAGTTGGTGATTTTTAGTCCTGAAATTTAAACCCATACATGCGGGTATTACAGAATAACAAGTGAAATTTCTTCCCAAATTGAAGAATTCGATTGTATTTCAATAAATGATAGTTAATTTTGGAACTCGGTAATGTTGAGTTGTTGATCCTCCTGATACAGCATTTAAATACGTATTTTTGCATATCAGTGTTCGCATACTGCAACTAGGCATTATGTACTTTTTTTACAGCTTTTAAATTATCATATTGTAACAACAGAAGACGTGTCGGTGGCACAGCGGTTAGGACGCTCGCCGACCATCCACATGGTCCGGGGTTCGATCCCCGGCTGACGCACTCCTTTATCTTGCTAAGCCAGAAATAATGCTGGTAAAGTGGAAAGGTTGGGCATGAGGCTAGCAACCCCATCCTGTAAAAATAAACACTGCTACGGAAACTTCAAGCCACTAGCTTGAAGCCCTATGTTCCACTGGGAACGTGAAGGAAAACAAAAAAAAGAACAACAAAAGACAAGGGCCAGGCAACAGATCGTTTATTTAGGAAATCATCACATATTTATATATTTTCATGTACATTATCATAGATTGTTGTAAGCAAACAAACACAGTTTTCTGATTGGTGGTTTCTCGCTGAACGTTTATCTTTCCTCTCTTTGTGGCCCTTGAAGTTCAGATTATCTATCTGCAAATTGTATCCGCATACGCAAAGTCTTTGTTCTTATTTTTCTCATGACCAATATTGGGGATGTACACAATGACGTAAGTTACTATCTACCAATTTTGGCTAGCAGCCAGCTCTCACCACAATATGACTAAAATAATAGGTCCAGCGATTTGTGCACAGTCTTGTAAACTTCAGTCAATGTGAAGAGTAGTAGATTCTTGTCGATACAAGTGCAAGGGAACATACTTTTCCATGACTATCATTTCTTGATATATCATTCTGTCCATTTGGTTCATTGACTTCTAATTATTACTCGCTACCTATTTCCCTATTGATTTTCCCGTGGGTAACAAGATGTAGAGTATTGTTGCTTGTGACACGTTGTCAGCATATGTCGTTATATGTCGAAATATATGACTCTTTTGAACGTACCTTATATTACTACCTTTAAAGTAAGGATATTATTATGACAGAAACTGTATACTAGTATCTTACTAGAATGGGTTCTTTAAAAAACTCTTGTCATATGACCTTAGCTTTAAGCCGGTCATATAAACATATCAACAAAGTAATAAAAGCAGGAGACTTATTCTGTTGTCTTAACTTTTACTTTGATAGTGCTGCCAGATACAAGCAGTTTTATGAAGATGAGACGGAATTCTTGAAACAATTCAGTGGGATTATTTTCACTAAAACATGAGAATTTTGTCTAGTGACACTGTTGTTTCTAAAAATTCGTGATCATACATCACTAGAAATAGAAACATGTCATTTAAGATAGTTTCAAGCCTATTAATTTGTATGCACCAAGTCTTGTGAATATTTGTTAAAATAATTTTCTCGTGGTATACAATGCTTTAAGTATCTTAACATGTTTGTTTTTTTCATTTTTACTTGGTTACCATAGGTTAATGCCCCGCCAGTTAAGCAGCAACCTCCAGAAACCCCACCACTTGAGCTGGATACTAACTGTGAAGTTTGTCAGCGTCCCGATGATGAGGCACACTTGCTTTTATGTGACCACTGCGACAGAGGGTATCATACTTACTGTCTTCCTACTCCTCTCTCATCCATTCCAGATGGTGACTGGTTTTGCCCAGATTGTGTACGTCATAGAGTTGTTCCTCCAGACTCTACTTCTAACAATGCTGTTGATACGCAAATAAGAAGGACTACACGGCGTAGACTAATTGATTCGGAGGCAGAGGAAAGTGATAACGATGAACTTTATACTACTTTAGAAGAATCCAGTTCGGAAAATCTAAATTTACGACATGAACTTAGTTTCACTGCTCAAAGGAGGCTTGAGGAGCAAGCTACCAGACGTCATCGTGGGCGTCGCTTATTACAGGATTTGATCGCTGACCTCAGTCAACGGGTGACGTCGGAAGCGTCTGTTCGAGCACGGCGCCGCCAAAGTCAGCGACAACGTGTTCGGAATCAGCTTGCATCAGAATCTACCAATGTAAATGGATCCGGTCTGACACGTATTTCCCAAACAACCATTTGTTTTGAAATACCATCATCAGTGAGTTTTCTTCATAAAATAACATCACAAAATAGTTGTATAACATTCAAAACACTGTTATCACTTTTCCTACTTTTTTTCAGACCAATCAACCTGTTAGCCTTCGTTTGGGACGTCCACTAAGCAGTACTAGTTCCAGTGGCACAAGCCGCAACCATAACACCACTCGATCAGAACGTAATGGACCGGTTTCAAGTGCAAATCAGCAGGAGGTAAGATTACTGAAAACAATCCTAATAACGTAATGTTTTGAAGACATTATGATCTCGTCTGGGCTGAAGTAATTACTAGTAAACGCTTTCAGCGATAAAAATATTAGCTGTCTTTTGACTATAAGCGCATTGATTCAGTCTTTTGTGTTCGATGGAGATCGCCTGACTGGGGTTCTCGGGGTGATAAAGATCAGTGGTCGGATACGCTTACGATCTCAAAACCTTCTAGAATGACATCCGTGTATTCACTCATTATTGTTTTCAAAGTCTGACGTTCTCATCAGTCTTCATAGAAGTATAATCTCGTTATTTTCACTTCTGTCCACTGTAGTATCTTACTATTTCTGTCTTTTTTCTGTTCTGATTCTGACTGTTGCAAATTGAACCGATGAACTTCTATTCTATGTCCTACATAAATCTATTTTTGGTGCCTGTTGTAATTAGAAAGTGAAGTTGGAACTATAAAATACTCTTTTATTGGTTTTGACTGATGATTACATTTTGACCGTGAAATTTCTGCAGTGACTCTCAGGAAGCTAATTTATCTTGAAAGATTGTTTTATCAAGTCCTGTTATGTCAGTAAGTTTGGTTGATTGCTGGTGAAATTAAAAGCACTCCTCTTCTTAATGTGATGGGTATCTGATGGTGAAGTGGTATTGTAGATTGGGATGCGGACGTATCCACCGTGATATATTTCTTCAAACGGTCAATATACAGGTTGTTTTATATTTTAGGCATAGAAAGATTTTAAGTGTCTACCAAAAGTTGTGCATCTAATTTTGCCATGTTTCTTTTCGTTGTTGGCCATAAGGTTCTAAGTACCGATGTAACATGCAAAGTACTCACACTGAAAAACATTTGTCGCTGGTTTCAAGCTGACGTTGTTTAATTCCTATTGTCAAATGAAAGCAATTCATTTTCATCCACATATTTTAGAAAGACGTCAACCGTCTTTGAGGTAGAATTGATTGTCAACAGAATGTCAAACGATGCATGCGTCTTAATCTTATCGACTCATTTAATCTTTGCTTCTTCACTGTGTCGGTATTCAGAATTCTTTACCATCCAGTCACTGCAACTTTCGTATTTATTCAATTCAGCAAGACATTTCTAGCCTGAAACCAACGTTAGATTGAATAACAACTTGTACTTAGCGTAACACTGAATACTAGAATGTATCCTGATCTTAGTTTCCTCAATATGGTTTAAGATCACCGAGCAATTTTATCCATGATGCTTATATGAAAATCCTTCGGTTGCGAAAACTTGCCCTCACTAAATGGTAGTTTAAACTGATGTCTTTTTGTCTTTTAATTCTTGCTGCATGTAATAATTTACATTATTTACGACATTTTCTAGTGCAGTAATTTACGGATGTTTGTTACTTGTTTAATTCCAGCTTTCCCGTAAACGATTGCGGATATTATCTAGCAGTGATTCGGAGTCGGATGATGAAAGTGGGATCGCGCTGCGGCATGTAAAACTTACTGGCCATCGATCTCGATTGATAAGATCTCCGAGTAATGAATCAAATATGGAAGAGTTCCCTGCTGTATCTGCTGAATCATCCGTAGTTTCGCCCACCGGAAATGATGAAAGCGATTCCAACGTACTAAATGGTTCTGGTAGTCAGCAGGATAGCACCACCTCAGAATCTTCGTACATAGATAGAACTCAGGATTCGACTACAGAAAATATACAAGATGAATCCGACTCTGAACTATCGGAGTTTAATGCCAATTATAATCCTCCTGTGAAAACTTCACCAAAAATACGTAAAATATCGAAAAAGAAACCCAAAAGACGTTTGTCAAATAAGAAAACAATAAAAAGGCGTGTCAAAAGAAGAGTGGTGAAATCTAAAACCTCTCGGCGTACAAGAAAAAGACGAATTAGTAGGAAAATAGTAAGTCTAAGCAGATATTATAATCTTTATTTTGTTAAGTTTGACTTTAAACATCACATATCTTTAAATTAGCACTGATAATTGTCCCGGGTTCGAATTCCATTCCATTTATTTTAACCTGGGCGACTTGAGATAATGTCATCAATCCTCAAATAGATGTGGCTCATCCTGGCTTAAAAAAGTTTGCTCGAAGTAACTAATTTCTAATTGTCATGAGTATTGTGTCTATTCATTGCTTGCTTTTCGAGTGGGGATGTTTAAGGGTACTTCGATCAGGAATCGAACCCGGACCTTTCGAATATGAACTGTTAAGCAAATCATTTTGCATTCAACACAGTTTATTCATAGCCATATCGCTTGATTTACAGACACATTGAAAGTCTTCACCTCAATAAATGACAAAGCTATTATCTGTAAAAGTCAGCGCCTCAATATGCGTGACACATCTACTGGTGTAACAACAGAAGACAAGGGCTAGGCAACAGATCGTTTATTAAGGAAAATCAACACGTATTTATAGATTTTAATGTACATTATTGTAAATTATTGTTAGTAGAAAATACAGTCTTTTGATTGGTTGTTTCTCACAGAAAGTTAACCTTGCATCTCTTTGTGGCTGTGTCAGATCATTTATATGCTAACTGTATCCGCCTATGCAAAGCCTTTGTTCTCATTTTCTCACCACCAATATTGGGGACATAAACATTGACGTCAATTACTGTCTACCAACTTTGGCTAGCAGCCAGCTCTCACCACACTGGTAGTTGAATGATATATCTTTTTTACTTAAAGCCTTTTTTAACGACCTGTTAGCTGCTTGTTTGGTGTATTTACCACAGACGATTATATACAGATGGTGTATTAAGTTTCCTGAAACCTTAGATTGTCATTCCTTAATGCCTTTAAATTATTCTGTATGGTACGAAAAACGGAATAGTAGCATTGTGTATAGGGTTTATTTTTAATTGTTTTCTTTTTGTCAATAACTCATTGTTATATTTCAATGCATTATATGTACACTCAGCCAAGGCTTTCAACATCCCTATCATCTAACAGTCCGAAGGCGTCAACTTCCTCTCAACCACGATTTCGGGGTGGTGTGATAGGAACTGGTTTGCCTAAATTATCAATACTAGGTAAAGAAACCCAATGCAAGTAAGTTAATTATCAAATTTTTCCTTATTTTATCATTTTTATGAATAGTACTTTAATATGCAATACAATTTAAGATTATATTTTATAAACTTATCTTATTAAGTTCTTATGCAATCCTAAAAGTTATTAACTGATTGCGAATTACTGAGTTTTTAAATGATGGTTAACATTTTTTGGTTATTGAGAAGCCATTTGACACTTTTTAGAAGTCATCCTACATTCCTAATATGACAATTTTGTGTGCTGATGAAAACGTGTAGGGGAGAAATACTTCACAATTTCTCACACTGAAAGTTAATTTCTTTTTTGGCGTACTTACAAGGGGAAGCGGATTTATTTCCCATGACCAGGGAACGCAAAGGAGGTCGGTTACTTATCATCTCCCTAAGAATATTGGATTTATTATTAAAAATGTACAAAAAAAAACTTCATCACTATAGATTATGTCACAGTGTACAGTTCTAGAAGCCGACCTTTTATAATCCCTCCTCATCAAAGTAAAAGTGCGACATTGTTACCATCATAAGCTAAGATTTCAGGAGTATTTTTTAGATATAGTTTGATAAACAAACTAACAAGTGGAATTCACTAAGCAGTTAGTGTTTTTAATACTCTTTCCTTCTCTGTCAACGAATATTCTAAGCATTTGCTGAAATCTCACTGTGTTAATCATTGAAGATATGAATTTTATTTCATTCTTACTTATAGTCTTAACGAAGTAGTAACTGTTGTTCTATATATGGTGGTATTGAAAAAAAATATCCCAAAAACTAGGCTTGGATTTCTATGGGTCTCATCTATGGCGTAGTCTGTTTGTTAACTTCAAGAAAGTTGTGTTATAATGGCGAGTAGATTTGTACTTATGGAGAGATGGTATGATTAAAACGGAGTGTGAATAACAATAGTTCACTCTATTAAGTCATATTTAGCAGTTACGATTGAAAAGTAGGGTAAATGATACAAACAAGCATATAAAATGTCGGTTGATCAAAGATACTTTTAACGAAAATGTGTATCCATCTGTACGTGAGGAAGGTTTGAGGTATATCAAAGCGTTTTGGTAATAATAAACCTTAGAACTACACTGCATAGTACTTGATTTGAATTCCACCTCTATGTTTAATCGATAGCTGTCATTATTCATGAACTGTGGCTGTTGGAAAGGCCAACCAATCTGTCCCAACAGTAACAATTAGTTGGATGACTATTCCGAGGTACCGATTGTACCTATTGTACTACAAGCTACATGATTGTGTTGGACTGTACTGTCTGGCCTTTGAAAATAAGTGCAACATTTCTTCTCAGAAAACGAATCATCGGACTTTTAATGAAATGATTTTAAAGTACTTATTATTTAGGTCTGGTGTTTTGAAAATTGTTCTTGAAGTACCTGACTGTTAAGTAAAATTTCCTCCTAACAGGTCTCATTTTACAAGCACCATAAAAATAACACCCAATTATTTTGTTAGGGGCAGTATTACTTTACATGATTAGGGAAATCTGTATCCACAGTTCGTTCGTAATGATCTTTTCAGTACTAAGAAGCAAGGATACAATACAGTTAATGTAAATCTGTTTATATGTTAAAAGGGGTTAGTCGAAATAAATACCTGGACTTGGGGTTTCAAGTTTGGTATCTATAAGTAAATCACAATTGCAAACTTCAGGAAACTTGTATTGTATCTGTAACTGAAAGCTCTACACCGGTGTCGTTTAAACTTGCCTAATGACTATATCACAAACTGTTTAACACGTCCAAACAAGGGAACAACTTTTGCTGGTCGTCACCCAACAGTTATTTCTCTTCATTCTCAATTTGTTTGTATTTATAGTTTCAGGCTTATAGTTGATGAAGATAATGATGAAGCACCGATTAGATCTCCTTCCCCTCCTTGTAATCCAGTTGCTACTACTTCCTCCGTGTAAGTTGCTTGTTTTGTGATAAATGTTTATACCTGGATTTCGTGTCTGTTCAACTTATTTTTCTTAGTGCTACATACTGTATATACATTTTCATAGGTTATAGAGATGCCTGGGTTAACCACTTTTTTTTAGTTCACAATCATCTACTTTCAAATACAATGTTTCAGGGAAGAATTCCTGTATTTATATATAACTTTAAGAATTTAAATATTTATTTTAGACAGTTGACCTTTTGGAATCATGGATTGGGAGATATATCTTTATATTTTCACACTCATTTAGAGTATGATTTTATCGATCTCTTCATATACCAGTAGTTATGTTTTCCACGAAGGCACAGTTTTACTACTTTATTATTAGAAGTTATATTATATATATATATACCCTTCCGAATGTCTGTCTGTCTGTCTGTTTTCGACATAGAAATTTGCACATATGTGCGGCAGTTCAAGTCGCCACACTCCATGTAGCACACAAAGCAAGAGAAGAAAGTAGGAGAAATGCATATTAGAGACAGTAAACAGAGGTGTGAGACAAGGGAATAGTAATAGCGAAGAACAAAACAGTTCCATTGGAAATCATAAATCACAAGGAGTGTATGCATCTGCAGCCATTGAGAACGATTTTGAGCCATGTCACCAATTGTTTCCAACCATTGGTTTTTACCGTCCCGAAGACCCCCACAACTAGTCAGGAAGTTTACACCTTCCTAAGTGGTTTAAACTAACTGTTGTAGATTTCATTGACTGGTGCCATGTTTTCGTTTGACCGCTGCTAGCTCTTTTCCGCCTGACTCTATATCAGCTAACATTGCCTGTTGTCGAGGAAGGCGATGACTAGGCGTACGTAACACATGTCCTAACCATCTCAGTCGATGTAATTTCACAGTCTCGTCGATTGATTTCCCCTCCTTACCTAGCACTCGACGCCTAACCTCAATATTGCTCACCTTATTATACCACTTCACACGGGAGATAGAACGCAGACACCTATGATCGAAGACAGCTAGTCTTTTCATGTCTTCCACTCTCAATGGCCAGGTCTCACAGCCATAAAGGAGGACGGAGCGGACTGCTGAGCAATACACCCGCCCTTTGGTCGATGGCCGGATATCACGTCTACGCCAGAGACGGCGTAAACTGGTATATGCGAACCTAGCCTTCTGTATCCGTGCTGAGATTTCGTCAGAGATCAACCCGTTGGGGCTGATGGTACTTCCCGAATATGTAAGCAAGCATAATCATCCCACCAAGGTATTAATCATAGCTGTGATTGTAAGTCACTTCATTTAGTGATCAGTATTTAGACAACTGGAAAAAAACTGTCTCATTATTTTCTCAAATGACTAAGCAAAGGAGTTAGCACAGAAAAACATGCTTGTCGTTTACTTTAAGGAGTTTAGCCAAGCAAGATTTAACTGAGAGTAAAAATTCCGCTAACCTATGGATTGTCATAAATTTGATATTTGTTTCTTTTTTCCAGTCATTCATATAACAGATAAAATTTACATCACTAGAATAGAATTTATGGAATAGAGTGAATTCATTTTGTTTTTCATTGATTCTCAACGCTTGGACATACATAACCTATCACAAATAATCGATTTCATATTTTTGAAAAAAAAAACAAGAATATTTTATCTGTAATATATTGGAACCTCGTTAAATCTGAAAACACGTTACGCAAGTCTACGTGTAACTTGTATCCAGTGGTCTGAGCACTCGATGACGAATCAATGAATCACTGGTTTGGTCTTCGCTCTATTAAATAATGTCTGTATAGTCCGGTAGGATCATTGGTTATCACAGAAGAGGTTGCTCACTTCCTAGCTCGTGTATATGTATCTGGTTGCTGTGTTGCACCGTATGTGTAACTTTTACACTACTCAATAAATATCATGATGAAATCCTGTAACCAATCAATCAAATCTCTACAAACCAATATTTGAATATCAATGAGATGCTCACTAGCGTTTGGCCCTATTCAGGTGGGGTTCTATTGGGAAGTCGTGACCACTAGGGTACAGCAGGTTGGGCGTGAGGACAGATACTGGCCGAAGACATTGGCTAGTGGTCGCGCTATATCGTCAACTGGCGGAAGTTAGAATTCATGGGCTGGTCATTGGGTTGGGTCCCAGGGGCTTAATAGTTTACGAGCTCCCCCTGTAACCTGGAGGTCTTTGCTTCAAACGCTAGTTGTGGGTGCGTACTGCTGAAGACTTTCAAACTACGAATGTTTGGCATGCGATTCGCTCCCGCCAAATATAAGATGATGTTACAGGACTGGACTACACTGACTCCTAGTTTAGAAATAGGGAGTGAAGTGGTAGAGCACATTGACCGCTTCACTTATTTGGGAAGTACCATCAGCCCCAACGGGTTGATCTCTGACGAAATCTCAGCACGGATACAGAAGGCTAGTTTCGCATATACCAGTTTACGCCGTCTCTGGCGTAGACGTGATATCCGGCCATCGACCAAAGGGCGGGTGTATTGCTCAGCAGTCCGCTCCGTCCTCCTTTATGGCTGTGAGACCTGGCCATTGAGAGTGGAAGACATGAAAAGACTAGCTGTCTTCGATCATAGGTGTCTGCGTTCTATCTCCCGTGTGAAGTGGTATAATAAGGTGAGCAATATTGAGGTTAGGCGTCGAGTGCTAGGTAAGGAGGGGAAATCAATCGACGAGACTATGAAATTACATCGACTGAGATGGTTAGGACATGTGTTACGTACGCCTAGTCATCGCCTTCCTCGACAACAGGCAATGTTAGCTGATATAGAGTCGGGCGGGAAAAGAGCTAGCGGCGGTCAAACGAAAACATGGCACCAGTCAATGAAATCTACAACAGTTAGTTTAAACCACTTAGGAAGGTGTAAACTTCCTGACTGGTTGTGGGGTCCTCGGGACGGTAAAAACCAATGGTTGGAAACAATTGGTGACATGGCTCAAAATCGTTCTCAATGGCGCAGATGCATCCACTCCTTGTGATTTATGATTTCCAATGGAACTGTTTTGTTCTTCGTTATTACTACTACTATTTTTTCTCACACCTCTGTTTACTGTCTATATTATGCATTTCTTCTCATACTTTGTGTGCTACATGGAGGGAGTGTGGTGAATTGAACTGGTGCACATCGATGAAAAGTTCTATGTCGAAAACAGACAGACAGCCAAACTAGAGTAACGAATCATCTTTCTTGTAATCCTAGGTTTTCCAGTAGTTCTCTAACCGATGTCATTTCATGATAAAATCCTGTAACATATCGGAGGATTTTCGGTAATTTGTAGAATATATATCCGTGTTTATAGTTTCTTTGACCAACATAAATGTGGTGATGACAACAAATTCCTTAGAGTATGATGAATTATCTTATGCTGTGTGCATCGGTTGCACAGTGGTTAGGACTCACGCCGACCATGCACATGGTCCGGGTGTCTATCCCCTGCCGACGCACACCCGATATCTATGGTCGACTTGCAAAATTAGGGCTACCGATATCCATGCTGAAAATCCCATACTTGTACTGAATATACGAAGTGGTATCAAGCTGTAATCAAAATCAAAACGAAAAAATAAAATAAAAATGTACACGACAAAGTATTAACAATAAGCATCTATCAACTTTGTGACGTTGGTGAAGGACATTTTAAGCAAATGCTTCAGGTAAAAAGTTGTGAAAAAATGTAGTTTTGCAGCTCATCAATGTTTAAAGATACCAATGTGTAAAATCACATCAATCTGCTTAATGTATAATTTTTCATAGACATACGCATAATCAAGTTGGACAGCTTATTTTCAGCTGTTAAAATGACACGTATTTAACACATAACTCATAAAAAAAACACTATTCTCATAAAGCAAAATGACCAGTTTTGCAGTATAAAACGAGGTCATCTTATTTCACAGGTTCTCATCAATTGCGGACTACCTTAAATTATAATTGTCACAAAGAAATAGAAATAGCATACTTCAGTGTTGGAATGATAACAGAGAAAATGTTGTAAGTTAAGCCATCAGAAATGTAAGCATCACAATTTTTTTTTAGTTCAAGTCATCTTCATTTGATATACACTTCGAAGTAGAAAACAAGGAGGAGGAAAAGTCAGAAAACAGAAAAAATAATAAGCAGTGTTAATTTACGGGGAAAATTATAGTTCATAAGGTTAAAATTGATTCATTGAGGTAAAGTCGCTAATATGGATGATTTTCCAATTAATATATTTAAAATCAAAATGCACCTACTAAGGGAATAAGAAATCGGCCATACTCGTCTTCTGTATACATAAGTTTAATTGCATCCGCTTTGGTGATTAATTGTAGTAAATTTAGTGTCGTTTGCAAGCAAGTTTAATATTTTGAATGATTTGGACATTTCGATGATATCGTCATGTCCAGGCCTCTTCAAGGCTCTAGTGTTGTTATAATAAACAGAAGTGATTTGTACATAAAGCACTGACCGTTCCTTATTTTCCGGATAGCTTTCTGAAGAACAGAACTAAAAAGGATGCGATAACGACATCTGAAAATGAAGTAAATAAGTTCCCCGAAGAATTCCTTTTCGAAGAAACTGATTAACAATGAAAAGGTATAGTGAATTCAAGTCAAAAGGTGGATGTCTAGCGTTTATGTGTAGTTATCCTAAATTCGTAGGTCTCATTTACCATTGAGACCCATATTGTCAGTGTCCAACCCATCATGTCATATACCAACTCGATCGTTGGCTGATTCTTTGGAGCCCATTTGAAATAAGTTTGAAAAATACCTTTCAATTTTCCAAAGAAGTACATCGTGTTGATACATCAAATAAAGTCCTAGTGTTGTACTATGTAACTGCTTTATTTACAAGTATAGCAATGATCACAACGATTGACATAATTTGTTAACAAACAGATCTAATACCACTACCTGAAAAAGAAATGAAGCGTCCACTGCATCTTTGACATTACATTTTAAAATGTAGTCATCAGTTGTACTGACAAATTAGAGTCGCAATGGGTCAATTTCTGTGACCTGTGCTAACCGATATCTTCATGGATTATCCTGAACAGACTCAACTGAGCTCTATTATCTATGAAAAGAAAGCTCTTTTTCTACTTTGAAATGCATATAAATGAATTTTCAAGTATTGGTTTTGTAGGGATTTTGTTTGATTGCATGGAGGATTTCATCATGAGCTGACATCAGTTTGAGAACCACTGGAAAACCTGGGAGTACTGTACAACCGTTTCGTCCTAGTTTGGGACTCTTCATCAGTACGCACCCACCGGGATTCGAACCCAGGACGCGCTATGTCGTGAATTGGCAGAAGTTTGAATTCAAGGACCATTGGATGGGGTCCCAGTGGCTCAATGGTCTACGAGCTCGCCTTGTAACCAGAAAGTCCTTGGTTCGAATCCCATTGGGTGCGTAGCGCTGAAGAGTCCCGAACTAGGACGAAACAGCTATCGAATACTTTCAGGTTTTCCAGTGGTTCTCTAACTGATGTCAGCTCATGATGAAATCCTCCATGCATATAAATGAATCATGTTTTGAACTGTTAATTGTGTTTTTACATTTTGGATGGTTTAATTTAAAACGTCTTCTCTGTTATCACTCCAACATTGAATTATGTTATTGTCTTTCTCTTATGACCATTGTAGTTTGAAGTAGTCTGCATTTGATGAGAACCTGTGAAATAAAAATATGTCATTTTGCACTGTAAATTCCGTGTTTCTGCGTTTATTGGAATTTCATGAATAGAACCACGTGTATCAAAAGATTATCAAATAAAGCTTCCAGAGGAACAATATGAATTCAGACTGTTTGTTTAAATTTTAATGTTGGGGTTTAGGAGATACAGTGATGTTGTGAGGATCTGGAGGGAAAATTTTCGTATAATTTTAAATATCTAGGCAACCAATATCTTGAAGTTAATGTATTATATGAAGTAAAAAAGGGTATGCGGTCTAAAGGTCGTACACATCCTGCTTATACATATGGGTGATGTAATCAAATTCCTACTGAATTTGTATCATGTTTGTTCAGTGATGACATTAGTATTTTGATAATAATCTTATACTACCGTATGACTGGAATACTTGAGAGCGTAATGAGCGTACCATGTCACCAGTCGAGTAACATTTTCCCTCATGGAAGAATATTTCCCTCCATAATATGTGAATAGGTATACATCACTGAAGTTAATGAATATCGTTTCATTCCCTAGTGGTTCTGTTTATAAGTAACGTTGTTGGTTTTTCTCTCCGTAGACAACAATTAATCATATCATAGGTACTATTGTGTTTTATAGTAATAGTGTTAAACTTTACTCCTCACACAAGCTGTGGTAACTGATTCGATCTACTGATATTTTGCAGCTTACTAATGAATAAACCTTCTAGGATGACTAATGTAACAACGGCTGACTTACCATACGCTGTTTGTTCCTTTCTGATCCTGGAGCTCATGTGAAGACTATGTTTTTAGTATCACGATTTTCATTGTCTCATAAATGAACCTTCTATGTCCACCAGTCCTCTGATGAACACTAGACAATCTCATTTTCCCATTAACTTTTGTAGGCTTACTCTACATGGCGGTAAGGCAGTAAATAGAAATCACGTGACATAGTACATGAATGCGTAACGACATGAGACCGTTTCGAGAAGACTTAGAGTCTGCCTATTCTTAGCTAAACTAGGTAATTGTGGCGAAGTCATTACCGTGGTCAAGAAATATTATTGTGCTAAAGCGTTTATATGCTTTCTGGAAATTAGTGGATGAGCGTTTGATGCATTCCTTCGGTACACAATATCAATGTGAAAATATTATTTTGATTATACTTACATTGGATTCCTTTAAAGGGGTGTTCAGTAATTTGTTTTTTTTATACAAAACAACTTCTATTGACTTAACTCAAAGAATAATGAGGATCTATTGCAACATGTATCTAAGAAGTTCATTTAAAATTATTAAACGACTGAAAATAGTATTTAAAATATACACCAATACTTTTGTTTGAAAAACTTGTCATTAATTAAGACAAATGATTATTTCTTTGATACGACAGGCGATTTTACTTTCTGAAAACACTTTTCAGTTTTAAATAACGAGGGTTTTTATTTTTATGATGATAAGGATAAAAAGTCGAAATGTAGTTTCGTAGAAAGGTATATCCTGTTTGTGAAATGTTATTCGTTATCAAGTAAACGAAAAAGGTTTTTGTTTTTAAAAGAAGTTCTACATATCCGCAGAACGTGTTCCAGACAGTTTGCTAAATGCTTTAAAGAAATTATTTATATCTTACGAATAGTAAGGACACTCATAGTGTTTCAGAGTTCTAATCATCTGACATTGTTGTTGCTAATACTAACTAACCATAGTCTGTGTATCTTTGAAAGCAATTGTCAGAAGAGTAGTTTTTTTAGTTTTTTTTTTTGGAACTGTTCTTTCACACAGTTTAGCATTGTTTATCAGGCACTTTCAAATAATAGAGCTTCTCTTAAATAGTGTTTCATTTATTTAAATCGCCTTTTTTCACTTTAGTTCAAACAATTCCGTTCCACAACTGAACTCCAGATCATCAACTTACCTTAGCGATATAGAAGCTGCACAAGATTCATTATTCCACTTTTCCACTCGACATATGCAAGTGAATCCAGACCATTCGATGTCGCCTATTCCAGTGACAAAGCAGTCGTCATCACACAACAAAACCAATACAGTAAACAATAAAACTAATCCTGTATCTTTGGTTAACTCACCTCCGTCTCAATGTTCGACGGATACTGTATCCGGCATCCATAAGTCTCCTGTATCTTCGAATCAATGTATAAACACAAAAGCTGATAGTTCTACTGTTCAGTCTGTATCAGTTCCTAGCAGTAGTGCTGCTATTCCATCCACATCTCATGATTACCCGAATGAGGCTAATTCTTCACATCCTGGTTGGAGTCCAGAATCTGTCCACCGAGTGAAATCTACCTTAAAACATAATTTAAAGGCTTATATCTCTTCTCATTGCATTGATAAAGAAACTTGTCGCGATATTTTTCAACGTGCCTGGGGGAAAGTGAGTGTCTTTAAAAACTATTCTTTATTTGTCTTCTAATTTAACCTTCATCACTATGCAGACTACCAACTTACTAACATGTTTGTACTGTTGGTTTACAATCCACATTTAAGGTAGTTGAACAAGTTAAAATTCCTGATTGTTAGGCAAGAAGTGGTTTGAATCTTGTCTCCAAACGATTTTCTTAACTAGTAAGCCATATCACATTAGATTAGTATAGCGTTTTATTGTGGTACCTTTACAAAAATCCTACTTCTTGTCATGTAAATATGTTGACTAAACGGATTGAAATTACTGTTATGCCTTAGTGCTAGTGATATCTGCGGACTTTTAAACGTAGGGATTCTTGCAAAATTTTAGTCACTGTACGATTGATTATGTTGATAACAAAACATGTGTTCTGTTGACTGCGTCGTCACACAGATAAACCCTTTACTCACTGCATGCTGTTGAAGTATTAATTCGTATCTGTACAAACCTATATATACTGATATGTTTAGGGAAACTTGTGTTAAGCTGTGAAGTAGAAGAAATGAGAGGATTATATGTATATATGCATGCAAATTAATGCTACCATCTGTATTTGTTTAAATTACATGATGTTATATATATATATATATATATATATTCTGTTGTTTGTTATTTCTTTACCAGATTGTTCAAAAACCACCCCGCAAGGTTACTGATGAACGCATCGCAAAATTAGTAGATGATTATGTCCAGTATTGTCTAAGGCATAGAACTTAGTGTTCTATAATACTTTGTTAATATACCTGTAAAGTTGACCTCTATTACTTACTTTCCCTATATATGATAAAGATTATTTGTTCTTAATGTGTTTGTATATGGCTATAAAATTTACTGAACATTATGCTTAATTGTTGAAAATACTTTGACATTCATACTCAATTCCAACTATGATTATGATATGTAAATGCAATAAAATGAAATGTGAGCATTCATTCTTCTACATGTTGCACTTATTCGTTTAATTGATCACCAGCACCTCTACGTATGTATTTCCAATAATAGAAATTTGTTCAAAGGTTTGTCATTTAAAGCATACTTAATCATTAGTCTCTATCCTCGTGCACCTGTGGTCTTTTTAAGTTACCTGTTGACTCAAGAAGAAACTCCTCAATACAGAATAAAAAAACAAACACCGACGTATAATGTGATAATCCGTCGAGCTCAGTCGTTGGTTATAAGAATAGTGTGAATAGGTCACATATTGTTGGTACAATAAGTAGGATTATATTACGTACTTATTAGTTGTAGTTATTTTGTACTTGAATTAAGTTACACATAGTGTACAATACATGTATGAATGGCTAAACTGCTGATAATCAATACTTTTTTATTCTTGGATGGCTTGATAAGGTCACAGGCAGCCGTTGTTGATTAGTGTGTGTTAAGTAGTAGTACCCGTATTTTTGTACGACTGCAAACTTAATCAACGCTTTATGTAACTTGCAGCTTAAATCAAAAGGCACATTTACCCAGTAAATATGCGCTGAGGATAATTCTTATCAGCTTAAAGGAGGAGAGTAAGTGGGCTAAATATAACCGATTTAGAAACTACATGTCTGCGTATGCTTTATCACTGCTAATTAGTGAATAAGCCTCAGTCGGTTCTTGTGAGATAAGGCATAGAAAAATTTTCACAATATGGGTTCAGAATTATCTGGCTAATGTTCGACTTTTTGGAGTTAACGTTTTTACTTTCAGTTGATACGTTTATAAAGTATGCTTGATTGCGTACTACTATGCGTGCTAACCAGAAGCAATAAAATTATGTGACATCTCCCTGACAAAAAGTGGGAATGTGCTTTAATTTAAAGTGAAATTGGTCTTTGTTAATTCATATAATATGTTGAATTCCGCGCGAATATCAATGCTTATACGATGGTTATCAGTGACACAAGTAATGCCTCGTTTTTTTTGTGGTGTGTTCTCTGTTTCAGTTTCTGAATGCTGATTATATAGGCTTTATAATTTAGCTCCAGAGAGGGAAAGATCTTTGAATCTACCGAGGTGTAGTTTAATTAGTTCATTTTTGGTATTAGGTGTAACTGGACGAGTTGAATGCCGTCATGGAACTCATTCAGATAAACTGAGTTGTTTATCAGAAAAACCATTAACGCAGTATTTCTACAGGCAACTTTGTTTCTCATATGTTTTCGTAAAATACAGTTATCATCTTAGACTTTAATTAGATTCATTAACAGGAAAAAGATATGTGTAATAGTGGTTAGACAAAGTTTATAGATATGGTTTACCACTGATGAATCGATGTATTTCGACTTGTGCACGTCAACATAGCATATTACTCAAGTGTGTTTAAAAATAAGGTGAATATAAGTGTTTAGAAAATATAGGCTGTCTGTCTGAGCTTCCTTCCCAAAGCACTGCACGAAATGCAATGCCTGTTGCGAATTCCCCTGGTAGGTTTTTTCAATGTTTAGACATGGTAATGGATAATACAACAATGATGACAGTGTAAGTAATCATCACTGATCCAGCTTCATTTATATAAAACTAGATCACAATTCGATCGTTGTTTATTTGAGACTTAGTGTTACCAACTCCAGACTTCTGTTTATCTAAATAGGTATCGCGCAATAACTATTGAACTTAGTACGAAAGCTCTCCTACCTGAAGAGACACTAGTTGTTGTCTCTCCAGGACATTGAAAGTGGCTTCACTATAATGAATTTCAGTGATTCTTTGTCTTGGTTTATACGGATTGCGGTATATGTCGATTGGATACTGGTAATAGGAGCTGTAGATTCGTAAACATTAGCGGCGTTTAAAAGTACATAGAGGTGTTACACTCTCACATCTCGTTACAATTATTTCTTTACCAGAATTTGATTGCTTGTTGCATAGACAGATGTAGCAGTTGAGATCCCAAGGAGATTGAATATAAGGGGTAACTGTGGCGAGCCCATAAATAGGATCGGCACAGATATTCAGCTGCCAAGACATATGAGCAATGTCTTTATTTAATTTATGTAAGCCGTATCAGAAAGCAGGTGTACTACAGCGAAAGCAGCTATAATAAAAAGAAAACAGGCTTCCAGAGAAATTCAAAGGCTGCATTCACAGAGTGAGAAATCAGTTAATAATAACTGAAGAAGTGCTATAATATAATATATATTTATCCCTATCCATGTAGGACACACCACCTATCATAAATTTCATATTACTGGTTTAAACAGAATTAAGTGCAAAATTTATTTAATCAAAAATGATTTAATTCCAGGCTTTATTACCTCTTGGTAGCCATCGAAAGGAGCTATAATATGAGTCGCACATCTTCTTAACTCCATGTGAGAAAAGGTGTTTACTTCTGTGGCATTAAGCTAATGATAGTCTTAATTCGTATCTATAATATGTGAAGGGTATCATTTGGAGTTGTACAACACACAAGCTAAACGTCTTTCTACCTCATATCCTCTCTTCCTCAGAAATTTTGGGCCATGTTCAAAAGTCCTAAAGACTGTGCAACTACGCAAATAATATCAGGTTGAATGCAGCTGATAACGCACGCCAAGCCCGATGCAGACGATGAGGCACTTATGTTGTTTGTGATTACTCATTAAAACTGTCTTTCTTATCAGTAAGTTTACACAAATTTAAGGAACTTACATGATTATCACGCTGCTTATGAGGACATCATCGCATCTGATTATGACGTGAAAACATCACACAGTGATTTTGTTATGCGAGCCGATAAGATCTCTCAATATCTTGAGGTCGCACTGATCATCACTCTTGCTTTAAATAACGGATTTTGCACCAATATCACATGGGAATATATGTTAAAAATCACCCGTCCTAACGGAGTATTTCGAAAAGTGATTACAGGCTTTATTTTAATAAGCTTTGCAAAAAAACATGGCATTTTTGTTCTGCAAGGCTGAAATTTGTTATGGCGTCAGCTGTAACACAAACTACAAAGCCGTCATATTGCATAACATCAACAAACTCTTTAGCTGGCTTTGATATCCAAATCGAACATTTTTGATAGTTTCTTTGATTGCACTTGTAGCGGTAAATAATTCCCCAAAATTATTGGCCACAGCATTCATCACTAAACATTGGATGCTGACCATCAATGTTTAAGTGGACTCGTTTAACGGAAGGCTTCCGGTCAAGCACCCATGCCATTTTGTACGCCGCCATGTCACGTTCGTTCGTTGATGCAGATCCCTAGGTAGTTAAGCAATCGTCTTGCACTCCGATTTGGTCCCGAAATATAACTCATAATTTGGACAATCAATTATTGTGTTTTGCTTTGCCTTTGGTGTACGCGGAACGAATACTATAGAAGCTGTTCGTATTAGATCTTACGTTAGTATACTCCGTACCATTCGTGAGCGTCAATACTGTCAGCCTCTAAACTGGTGAGCCCAACCGCGAACTTCATCTTTGGTAAATACACAGGCAAATCCGGTGATTCCATTCCATTTTGTATTTGTTCTTGCACTATTTTCAAACTACATATGTATCGTCATGAATGATCATATTCCTAAGGTCATCCGTGTTCAATCAACTGCCGAATCTATTCAGTTCGTACCAATTTGGCCAGATAATGCTGAATCGCGGTTTCACATAGCTGAGTTTGATTTCAGGGAACAAGGGTTAACTGATCAACATTCACAGTTCCTTGCAGTTGTCCACGCCCTATCGCAGGAATTCAGTGAATGCATAACTGTGCATATGTTGAGCCCAGAGGTAAGTAACTCCTTCGAGTTGCCCAAAGCATCCCTCCTGAGGTGAAACGTCCTCACGGATAGACAGAGTCTGGACGAATTATTTTGCAACGTGCAGTTAGGTGATCGTTGAGCTGTGAGCATGTTAACAAGAATGAGGGAAGTTATTGGCCTGATGACACTTCAGGGTGTTATAATAGATGACTTAGCTGTTTCTGTAGATAAAATTCTAAAAATAACAAAACGGTCAGTTACTGAAACATGCTCAATTGCCAAACAGACTTCAGGTAGAGATACTGCAGTGATAGAGTTATGCAACTCTGATCAGTAACTGCCTAGGTCAAACACACCTTGTAATTCCTCGTGTCGTCTTGCGAACTCCCCTTAAAAGTGAAACCCACGTGGTTGGTCTAAATCCAAGTCGGGTTCACTAAAGGACCTTGTAATTTCGGCAATGTCTCAAAAAAACTGTGGAAAAACAATCCCGCCGACACGCGTTAGTGGCAACCCTTGCCAGTGGCACTGTCTGCCTACTTCACATTCGTGATGTGGTCAGCCAGACGCAATACTTAGTCGACACAGGCGCCGAAGTCAGCGTCCTTCCTGCTACAGCAGCAGATCGACAGAATAAACCTACCTTCAAGTTAGAGGCTGCGAACGGAAAACCAATTGAAACCTTTGGTAGAAAATAAGTCTACCTGAACATGGGTTCACGCGAACATATTCAGTGGATTTTCCTTCTCGCTGACATCACAATACCCATCATTGGCATGGACTTACTCAATCATCGTGATTTACTTGTACACGTCCGCCTATAAAGAACGATTGATAGACAGTACTGCAAGACCGACTATCTAGGGCATCACCTATGCAGGTCCAAGTTCGTCACTCGTTAAGAAGAATTATATCCTTGATCCAACATTCCTGCCGATTGTTGACAAACATCCGAGACTGAACTGCCCGTCTAACGATCTATCGTACATAGCCTGCAATGTTATGCACCACATCATAACCTCAGGACAGCCTGTGACATCTAAATCACGACGAATTGCTATTGACAAACTGAGAATCGCTAGAAATGAGTTCGACCTTATGCTCACCCTTGGCATCATTCGGCTATCGAATAGCCCATGGGCATTCCCACTGCATATGTTACCGAGAAAAGATAGCAACGACTGGCGACCCACTGGTGATTACCGGCGAGTGAAAGCCAGAACAACCCGCAACTGCTATCTATTGCCTCACAAACACGACTTGACGGCAACATTATCTGACGCAACTATATTCTCAAAAATCGACTTGGTTAAAGCGTATAACTGAATCCCGATGGCACCAGAAGATATTCAGAAAACCGCTATCATTAATCCTTTCGGACTTTTTGAATTGCTATGTGTGCCATTCGGTCTTCGGAATGCAGCACAAACATTCCAACGTTTCATTGATGGAGTATTTCGCGGTCTGGACTTTGTACGCGCATATTTAAACGACTGTCTCATTGCCAGTCTAGACAAGGAAACTCACCTTAGACACTCGGACTTGGCATTCCAAAAGTTACGCCGACATGGTGTTACCATCAATATTCAAAGGTGTCGGATAGGAGTGGCAACCACACGCCTTTTTCTCGAGGCGCCTACAAAAAGCAGAAACGAAGTGCGGCACATTCGTCAGAGAACTTCCGGCCATGTACTGTGCAACACGCCATTTTTGACGTTCAATGGACAGCCGTGAATTTTTAAACACTTCTCATTGTCTCGGGCTTCTAGGTCATCTGTGGTTCTCAGTACCACCAGATTTCTAGATTATACATTGGAGTAGCATTTATTTAATTCGAAGAGTATGTATGGTGTTTTGCGTTCAGTGGGGCTGTTGGAGGTCTTAGTGTAGTACTTTGTGCGACCCTCTGGTCAGGTGGACAAGCATTCACGAGAAAGTAGCAGTAATTGAGTGGAAAAGTCTTCTTGAAAAATATTCAACGAAACTTTAGGAGTATATGGCAGATGAACTCTTCTCTGGACAGATACGATAGTGGAGCATATGAGTGCAAAATAGAGAGAGGAATAAAGGACGTATCTTGATACGGCAGTTAAATGGAAAACAAGAATAAATTCGTATGGCATACAAAAATAGCTGCGGTAATTTTAGTGCTAGTACTGCCTATACAGAGCCTCCCTCTATTTCCTCAACAGATTCTCAAAATCTCACCGGTTTCGCCTTAAGGGTCAGTCTTCTCTTGAACGTGTCAACTGTTGTGAAGGTTTCCATCTGTGCGGTGAGTGAAATCCCTAGGTGGGAAACTTTCAGGAAGAAAGCGTTTCACCTAACTTTATCTCTGCCGTCTTAAGGGCGATTCTACCATGCATATTCCGATCGATGTCATGGGGGCATTCTGGTAACATTCATCAGATAAGTTGCATTCGGAAGGATGCTGCTTTATGCACTCCGGTGTGTTCTCCTCTCATCCTGTGGTGACTCAGAGTTTACACATCAAACTTCAATAGTCGTTTGTCATACTGTCTTCATTTCCGTAGTAGGAGAGGTTTTGACATACCTTTGTACTTCTATTAGTAGTTTCAGGTCTCTTTTTGAGTCTGTTATAACACATTAACCCTTAAATGTGCCCATGAATACTTTTTGTATGACTGTGTAAATAGTACAGGAAAATATGCCCCTAGGTGCCTACACACATAATAGATGCATCCAGTGGTTTTTCCCATGGCATTTTGTCGAGTCTCTTCAGATGAAGTCAGGAGATTAACATTGAAGATATTTGATGCCTAAATTTATGCATGTCGTCCATATTCGCCTTATGTAGCTAAACTTCGTGTGCTTTGGAATACATATAAAATTACCCTTCATTGTCTAATATTAGACCTTGACAACTAGCGGGTTTAACAAAGGTGGCGTTATACTTATTGAAATTATGTGAGCAAGTGTGTTTACATAAATTTGGTCAATTCATAAGTTTATAGTTTTTTATCTCACTATCATCTCGATATGTAGCAAACGAGAATCCTGGTAACAAATGCCTCAGTGATCTTGAAATGACCAATTTCAACGAATTAAGCTATAAAGTTAAACTTGAGTTTCTGAGGCAACCTAGACCTGCATTAAAACATTCTCCTTATTTATACAATATATGTGCTATCTATCAAATTTATCTAACATACTCTGCTTGCGTATCAGAGAATCATTGGTTAGTCTCTTTTCATTCATATCTGTACTTCAACTTGGCCTCTCAGTGTTACTGTAGGATCGAGGTGACAACTCACGTAGTTTGTTGGAATATGCCCTGTATAAATGGATTAATTCAATGGGCGAGTTAAGGGATAGTGGTTGAAGCACAAAAGCTAATTGTGATATTGGTTAATCCAATTAAAGTTTTCGTAGGTAATGGTACAGTTATATCAGATAAACCGAATTTAGTTTAAGTAAGGAGTACCGCTTAGAATTAATGGGATAAATCCTAACTGAAAAACGCCTAAAACCAATCCTACTTCCTCATCTTTAACCATAAACTTGAAAGCTAACCACTAATTGTCTCCTGACCCTAAACAATGATATTTCGGAATAGTATTAACACCAATGCGATATCGGAGGCTGTTCTTCGAAATGCATTGCTTTTGTACAAAAATGTGCAAACCTTGTGATTACTACAATAATTTCTGTTGATACATTATCTGAGAGCCACTGTCCTATCGGTAATCTCTATTTCTGCTGTGAAGGCCTTTTAATCCTCAGATCTGTTTTTCATACTAATCTTCTCGACCAATAGCGCTGAAGTTTTTTAAGGAGTTCCAAAAAAGTTGAGGATTAGTGGTAGAGCACAGTTGTTCGGGATTCCTTCAGAAACTGTTCGCAGAAACCCAGGACTAACGAATAGTACGGCTGAGGCCTCATTGGTTTATTGGCAAGATGGCTTAGGAGATGATGCCGATGAGTAGGGAAGAAACATTTTCATGCTACTGAAAGTATATAGCGCCCTAATGCACTTGCTCTGTATGACCAGAGAACTACTTGTCAAACTGGGACAACAATTTAATCGTGCAAATAACGAAATACATTTCAGGATCAGGAACGTATAACAGCGATATCTGCTGCGTTCACGAACAACGGAACATAAAACGACAGCGTAGCAAATGGTCTGGATACCTTACTTCATGCTACAGCTTAACCAGTCGACTTTAGCAGTGAAGGGTAAAATCTAGTGCTGAATGATAAAAGGTTGAATATTAACTTTGAGCAGTTATTTGCCGTTAATAAGGTTTAGGACAGCTTCCAGTTCTACGGTCACCTACTATCAAGTCATTGTAAGAACAGTAGGATAGAGATCCAAACGTAGTGAAACTATGTGGAGCAAGCATCCACTTTTGAAAATAACTAATAAGGGTTTTATAGTGACATATGGAGTATGATATACCCGCTGCTCTGGTTTAAAAAATTAAAATTACGGGTCCCACAATCGCATGCCCTAACTGAAGCTTGAAGTCACCTGAGTAGCAGAATGTAATCCAAATATTGTCTTTAAGATACTAGATTTCAATTTTGTAAAAATAGTTCAGACAAGCTTTTTATATTTCAGATGCCTTCATAATGTATTTTAAAAATCCTCGATGAATTGGGCCAAAGTCTTCAAGTTGGTTTCCAGCAAGCCAAAAGTCTTTCAGAGCTCAGTTGGTGATCATTTAATATGGAAAATAAACGCATCCTACTTTGCAAGCAAACCTGGATCTATATCAAGTTCAGTTAAAACAACCGCGAGGTCGAAGCCATCGTCTCTTGTTGGTAAACATGCACCTATTACTCTTACGAAGTCAGCCATAGATCGTATCCAAGAACTTTTACAAAGAAATCCGAAAGCTATAGGACTACGTATTGGAGTTAGAACTCGTGGTTGTAATGGTCTGTCTTATACCTTGGACTTTTGCTTCGACGGAATCCAACCTGGAGATGAAGTTGTGGAGCAGGACGGAGTTCGTATTTTTATTGATCGTCGGGCGCAGCTGACGCTGTTGGGTACTGAAATGGACTATCAGCAAGATATATTATCCAGTCAGTTTGTTTTTAACAACCCTAACATTAAGGGGACTTGCGGTTGCGGAGAAAGCTTTAGTGTATAAATTGTTTCTTTTGTGATACGTTGATAATTTTGATATAGCGTGCATATATATATATATATATGACTCGCTATATCATTGAATGCCTTTTATTTAGACAAGCTATGTTAATGTAGATAGATAATTATAAATTTTGATGCAGTGCGTCGATTATCTTTGAGTGCTTCATACAATTCTTCGAATGCTTAAAATATCTCGCTCTTGGAATCCCTACTATTAGTTAATTGTTTTAATGTATTTCTACATAACTACTCTATAATCATTGTATTACAGGAGAATACGTATTTTGTAGTGACATAAACATACCTGCTAAGTGCATTTGCCAAAAACTATCTGTACGAAAACCAAGTGCATTGGTTGCCATTCCCACAAAATATATGGTGTTCTTTAAGAACAACACCACTAACTCATAGCATTAAACCAACTAAAATTACCTTTCAATGTGTCAATGTATTTATTCCAGACATAATATCGTTAGTAGTTGAATCCATGTAGATAAAGCACAAAAGGTATTTTCCACTAGATAGCATCTCAAATTTAGTACTTATTTTTAAAAACATTTTGCTAAATTTGGCATTTTACAACTTGTTATACTAAGAGATGTAGTCAGGAAGGGCAACAACGAAAATTCAGAGATATCCGACTTTTGAAAATGCACATAAATGACAGCAAAGAAAAGTAAGGTGATCTGTTGTGTGTGGTAGGTCCCGTATTATTCGTATGTTGGAATTAGACCATACAAACTAATTCGTGAAGCGTATTCACCAATTAAAATGGAGTGGATGAAGACAGTGTTTCGCTTAAATGTGGGCATATAGGAAGTTGGATTAGTTGTTCGTAAATGAAGAACGTTATCAGTCCAGTGACTGACAGATTAACTTAGAAGGGTGAGCAATTCAAACTGTTGTTAAATAAATCTACTTTGCTAGGCAGTGGAAGTTTTAAGAGCAGTCGAACTGTTAATACTGATCTCGATGCGAATGGTTACAAACTGGTTGTTAGATCAGTGGTTGTCCATCAACACTGTTTCGATTCCCATATTATCTTGCAATATTACTATGTAGTTAATGAGTGATTTCAGAAGATGAATCTGCCTTCAACGTTAGCAACAGTAATGTACATAAAATGTCTGAAATAATTAGAAAGTGTTAATTTAAGAAGAAGGTTAATCTTTTCTAAAAGCATTTATTGTTTGAATTTAGAGTAATCAAATATCACCATAAATTAATTTGAGGTGTAGTAAATGCAAGATCATTTGGCTGAAAACCGTTACAGTACACTGCAAAACAAATTGTAATCAGTAGACATGGCACATAGTCAGTGTCAAAACCATAATAACGAACTGCACAACAACAAACGCAATTTTATTTAGCCACCTAGAATATCAGCTGCAGGACCGGCTGGACATGGTCTCGAGCATCTACGTTGTAAATCAGAAAGTGGACGACCATGAAGAAGGCAGACCAAAACAACCGTCATATTGTCACAACCCAAACCATTTGTATGACAGTCAGGTGCTAAACACCTCATCATTAATTCTTCACATACCTACAAAAAGAAAGAGAAATGGTCTTGATGTACATTTGTGAAGTCTCATAAATTTTCAAATTAAAATATGCTTTTTGGTTTTCTGAATCTCAGTAGATGCGTTTTTATCAACTTAACATGCCGGAAGCGTATTTCCGCCGCTAAAAAGAACCAATGTTTGGAGCTAGAATTTCAATACGCTTCTTTTACCTAGACCATCATACCCCTTTATATTTCAAGGCTGATGCAAATTCATTGGCTTGGTTTCGAATGTGCTACCTAAGTAGTATTTAGAATTCTTAGGAATAGCAGATACGTAAGAATACTTGTGAAGGTGACGGGATATTTTAGGCTAAGAATATGCGAGATACTTTGTTTGTACAACATGAGTCTCACGGGGACGTTATTCACCAAGAAAATCAGGAAACAAACAAAGAAGGTATTTTTAAATTTTGGTTCACTCATTTCTCTAAGAATTGGTATACAGTGCCGACTTTATATTGCGAATTCAAACACTTAAATATTTCAAAACATCCATCATAGGTTGGTTAAGGTATTCGAAGTTCATATCGAAAACAGCTATCTAGAATTATCGGCTTTTAGAAACTACTAAGAAATCATTCTACACTTTACAAACCACTTATAGAAAGAAGTATGACTTATGTAACGATGTTTCGTTGCAACATGAGTTCAGAACACTTTACTAACTAGTTTTTTATTCTGTGAAAGAAAAGTAAACGTCTATCTGTAAATCTAACGCTACTAATGTACGGACGATGTTTTTTTTAATACGCTGGCAATATGAAAAGTGAGTAGGATTTGCTTTTCCATTCGAAATCCTCTTTTATGCATATTTTCTTAATCCCTATAAAAGTGGTAATTATCGTAAATAATAGTTATGCATATTCGCAAGAAACTGTCAGCTTGCTTCATATAAAGCGTCTAGTCAGACGTTAAAAACCTTGATAGTAAACCAGTGATGTGTGAACCAACTTTGGCTGTCCAAAGAACATAATAATCAACCATCTGACATTGAGCTGTATTACACAACACGGATTTGCGATATCATAATATACTTCACAGATTTTTTTGTATTTATTGTCTAGTTTTTGTCAGGTGCCTACCTGCTAGAATTGTTTTAACTTCTTCTCTGCAAGCACGAGTTTCTTAGATTATACTCAGGAAGTCAGTACACCCTCACTAGTTTTTTTCTCAAGTGCTTGCTTTTACATGCGTATTGGTCCTTCTAGTTTGATGTAACGTGAGTGACGTATTTATTTGCTTCCCATTAAGTAATTGAACGCAGTCTATGATCACACGTTTTCTCCGATACATCGTTCAACTATATATGCTTCTTCTCGTCTTCATCTACCTTGAATGTCATATTGACAAGTGCGATTTTCCAAAGTACAGCTAATCATGAATAGGGACGTGTATATCGAGTCTTTAAGGAGGTAACACGAATGGGAAATTCGCTCTTGTTGAAAATTCACGCATAAAAACAGTTTTATGGCTGAATTTATTAAGTCATGTCATAAGTACCTATAAAACTACCACGACACTCAGCTGGTACTATAAGGCCACAGTTATATAATATTAAGCATCAAATACCTAGAACATTGATCTCAACAGCTGCTTTAAGGATGAAACAAACATTTACGTAAAAATTAGGCAAACGTATCATATACTTCGGAAGATGAATGACTACACATTTCAAACACTTACCTTAGAAGGAGCCATTCCATAACTGAGTCGTAATCTGATAAAGCTTATAACCTCCTGATTAGTCATTACATCCCAAATCCCATCACAACATAGTACTATGAATTCATCGTCTTCGGCAGAAATTCTTCGGACATAAACATCCGGATTGGCTGTTACAATCTGATTTTCAGCGGACTGACGTGGATTGCGTTTAAAAACGAAATCTCCAAAAGCTCGAGAAAGTGCCAGATTACCATTTACACGTTTTGCATCGACCCAACCACCAGCAGCAGAAATGCGTTCTTTCTCAGCTCGCAAAGTGGGTTTATGATCTGTTGACAATGGCTCTGCTACTCCACGTCTACTGCATACAGCACGACTATCTCCAGCATTGCCACAATATAGCGTTTGATCTTTCAATAATACTATTATACCAGTAGATCCAGCCAATTCATCACCTGGATTCGGAATTTTCAGAGAAAAGCTTGTTGAAGCTTCGTTCTGTGTTTCTGCGGTATTATTTTTGATCGCTATATTTGAATTGGATGCTGTTGCACTAGCTGTTTCTGATTTTGTGGCTATCGATTTCACGGAATACGAGGTCATCTCAGATTGCATTTCTGCATCCAAACACAAAAAGGCGTTGCGAATAGCCTCTTTTATATCGTTTCGTGCTGTACCAGAAGATGTACATAAAGTTACTTAGTAATAGTACCAATAATTATAGACTTTTATTTTAATCAAAGGTTTACAAGACTGCTACTTCATGAATATAATTAAAGTACTGCAAGGTATTAGGCTTCCTATTATGCCTACCTATGTAGTCTTTCGTAATACTGCTCCTCTTAATCAACCTAAAATACTTTCTTATAACCTTTCGAGCTGGTCTCTATGTTCACCCCAGAATTTTCCAACACAGTGAGAACGCTGACTGAATATATATATGTCCATCGCCTTAGTGTCGAGAACAGGTAAGTTTGTTGTTAGTTCCATACAGCAGTAGTATGTGTTTTAAATATTCAAAGTCCGCTTAAGTATCTTTTGCAAAGGAGACCATTATGGTTACAACCAGACTATTGGACGATAATCTTGATTCATACATATATAAGGGAAGAAAAAATCAAAACGAAAACAACTAATACCTTTGAATAATGGCGTTCGATGTAAGCTTTACCTAACTGATTTTCAGGTAAAAAACACCTTTAGGTATTCATTTCACAAGATGAAAATGCTAGTTTCGTGTAAATCGTAGATTTAAGTTGAGAAATACAGTTGTCGTCAGTAACCAAGATGACTATTTAAACCACCGAAATTACCCATTGGGTCATGAAGAAAATAAAGGACAAATTCAGCGAAGAAAATTTTCTTTATCGACAAAATCATCTTCAGAGGCTATACAGTCGTATTTATATTCACCAAAAATGTATAGTAGTCTATTATTGAGTAATAGTAATAGACTGCTACACATTTTTGGTAAATATAAATACGACTGTACAGGTTCTGAAGACTATTTAAACATTCATCCAGTTGCAAAAATTAACGGTTTCATGTCTCAGAATATTGTTAAACAATTTAGGCCGCTTCCTGCCTTCAAGACAAAGTCATCTCAAAAAGATGAGCACGGTGAAAAGTCAATCAAACGCTTGCCCCAAGTTTTGCATAACTGAATTTCTCCAACAAACCTAATACCACAGGAGAATTTACTGCATTTTAGCATATTCCCCATAGACATGTTTACTCCTAGTTACTTACCACTGCTGGAAATTTCTGAATGAACGAAGCTGAAGAGAAAAAAATACAACACACACACTGAAAAATAGCAGTTGTTTTTCTTGCCTTATACGTCCCCCTCAGATAGTCCTGACTCATACCTCCTATAGATAAACTTAGAAAACCAGCTACGTGAATAAAGTCCGCACGTGTTTACTACCACCCACTCTTAAACTCGCCGTTTGTTTAGCTTTTATCATCCACTGCAGATCTAGATTAGTTTAAGTTTGCGCTACTAAAAAGCAGCAAAACGTGGTCCTAATTCTCTCCTATACTTAAAACGAATATCCATTTTTAGAATACGATATGTAGTTTAGCACCAGCTAAGAAATTAACTTCCCAACAACTTGCCTGAGGTTCGACTACTGCATCGCTCATCCACACTTTACGTGTACAACTATAGGTGGTTATTGAAACCTGTGTACTATGTGTAGTGATATTTTTTCTCTCAAGCATTCGTTCTATGAAAATACGCGGTTGCCGGTTTAAGGATATATTCATTATCTGTAGAGATTAAAAGTACAATCTGAAAACCGATAGCTGTGCAGAAACGATAGACTTTCACTTTGTTGGCATGATTACTTTTGATCAACAGAAACAAATAACAACGTACCATATTCACTTTGCTCTACTATCTTCTCATGAAGATGAATGCTAGCATGATTAGCCACTCTGGTTCCACCATGCCCATCAAAAACTGAAAAATACGCAGCCTTTGGATCATTGGGAAGCTCCAGTAAACACATATGGGAGTCTTCCATATGTACACGCCATCCTTGCATACTGGATACTGCAACACTGTAGTTTTCATTCTGCCAACTCCTGGTTTCCTTAGAAAGAACAGGAGCAGACAAAGACTGACCCATTCAGGAGGAAGCAGACCAATAATTGTTTTTGTTCATGTGGTAGTACTGAACCAGTCGTTTAGCATAATGTATTTTCCCCACTGAAATGATAAAATCCAGCATAATTTGTAAAGAATTATCTTTACATGAATATATTAAAATACATAAATCTGCTGTGGTGAGGCGAATACCAAATTTTCGAGACAGAGATAGTACCAGGCTTCAAGTCCCATGGTTCAGAACCAACCGTGAAGCTGATACGCTAATTGTATTTATGTATTGATTATTCCTTTGTTTGCTTCTTATTTCAGTCTTATAAAAATGAACTTTTGCTCCCTTGTTTGTCTTTTTCCTTAGCTTTGTCTCACATTCTGTCTAACGCGCGTGGCAATTTAGGGCAAAAGTTGATATTGCATGTCTGTTTCTGTCATTGTAAAAAACTGCAAATTTTAGATCTTATATACTGGCTAATTGATAGGTCGCACGAAATTTTAAGACCATGGTGATTACGAAAATCAGTCTATCGCCAAAGTTACACAACCAATAGATCATTTCTTTACTGCTATCTAATTGAGAAAGTACTCCAATATTGATTGGAAGAGGTGTACTTATATGCCATTTGGTACATACAAATAATGACGAAAATGGTAGGCATCATCTAAAATATATAGTATTGAGACAGACTAGATACTGACCTCCATATCAGTAATGAGGCTCATTGGCTTAAGCACTTAGGCGGATGGGTCACTAGCTCGAGTCCTGTTTCAATGTGGGTAAATGAGTAGTTATCCGCCTTCACAGCATAATTGTGGCTCTTACTGGTAAGTGAAAGTTCTGTTCACGGTAACTGAGCTTGAACAAAAACATGTATTATGAAATTATGCCACACGAAACACCTACAGAAAACTGGAAACACCTGAATACGTTATAACACCATATAGCTGTTTCGAAAATGTGCGGATTTTCCTATTGAAATTCGCGCAGAATGCTTCTATTGAGGCTAAAAATTTTCAAAAACGTTGTGTGGTTTCGTACAAGTGAACATATGACTGTGCAGTCTGCATCAACTACCAGATTTAACAGTGACTAGGGTAGTTAATTGTCTAGACAAACTCAACAATATGAGGAGGTGCATCGATTTCAGTAAGTCAATTTTATGAATCGCATTTTCTGCACCGGTCAGCTGGTTAACCAAGAAGATTTAGAAAGTGAGTGACTGCCTACTGAATTTCTCTCCACTGGAATTCAAAGTCACATACACAAACAGGATAACCAAACCTTATTGTCAGAAGAATAGGAAACACTATAAAAGAAATGTCGGGATCATAGGAAGTTATACAGCGTATGAGTACTTTGACATTACTAAGTGTAATCAACTGTGCTCAAACTCCCCGAACTAAAACAGTAATACCACCTCATTCTGAACACCTATAAACTTCTTTAACTTAAGTGAATCACGAAAGATTAAAGGATATCCGTCTGATGACAGAGCGGATATTTGCTTGACCAAAGTCACCTTACATCACAAATTAGGATGGTGCTTTTCAAAAAAGTATATATCAAAATCAGATTAAAAAACTGGCCTGAAGAAATAATGCTTGAAGCTGATTCTTTGCACAGACTAGTACATGTAGTAGCATAGTACTACACTAATGTACTGTACTTAATTGGTAAATGACACAGTAAAGTTTTTGAATGAAAGAAGCTTCAAGTAAAGTTTATTCTCAGAAACCATATCAAGTACGGTATAGTATTCGAAACAATGAAGAACAGTAGCTTCTGACCTTTGACAATTAGTTAAGTGTTATTGCTTGATCGTGCTATCTGTGGGAAGAACCACCAATACAAATTGGTATGGTAAGAATAAAGCATAAAAATTAGTTAAGGCAGCTCTGATAGTCCTATGGAAATATCAGCAAGACAATATGATTACCCTTTCAATTATTTCTTAAGATCCAAAATGTAACGAAACCAATTGGTCTTAAGACCTATCTACGTCAGTAGTCTTTGTTAACATTTTGCACATGCGATTGCTGTACCTCTTATCCCAGGCAGTTAACTTGCAAGTTCCTTCCTGGATGAAGGAACAGTGAAACATCAACCAGTATTCGTATACAGATTTTGGTATTGTTGAGAACGGTACAAGTAACACACCTTCCAAGCAACCCGCATTGAGATCCAATTGCCAATATCGATTTTTAAGTGCTAATGTAAACCAATTTGATTTATTTGTACTCGCTTCTTGGTTGTGATGACCACTATACCAATTGAAAAGTGATATTTTCAACATTCTGATGAGGTGTCACTTTAGTTTTATCTTTATTACGTGCACTTTCGATATCGAGAGTATAATAGTTCACTTTTCAATTGTAACAAACTTAAGACCTTAGTTTACAAGATATCAAGGTCATTAAAAACCTACCTGGAAGGGTTCAGTGACGCTTAACGGTTTGCATATAGAAAGGGCGGAAGTTCAATATATGCCGTGGTTGTCTTACATGATTATATCGTGTTCAGTATGCCTTTCTGAATAACATGTCCGCTTTTAACCCAGTATCTAGATGTCTTCTATTGAGTAAGCTTTCCTTGACACGAACCATGTCCTGGGCTGTTAACTGATTGCTTTCTTGTTTCTCTAACATATTGCATTAAACTGTATTTGAGGACAAATGCTTTTCTAGCTCGTTTTATGAAGCAAGTATTCCTCTAGGCGCTCTTTTCCATCCTATTTTTTTCTCATATGACTTCTCCTATAAGGAATAAATTAACTTGGTTGAATACGCTGGCGACCTGACTGTCTCGCTGTCAGTTACGTTTCAATCTGAATGTTCCAAACTTAATAGCATTTGTAGGACATTGGTGTTCCGGTTTTCTTAAACTATATATAATAAGGGCTAATCGGTAATAAAAATTCAGTATGGTTATATTCACCGGTATAATCAATGTTCTTTAAGAACTTATTTGAAAACGGAAATGAAAGCAACCCTAAATTCACCAGGATTATCGTAGGTTAATAATAACTGTGAGGGGTAACTTCTAGTCCCACTCGCATTTTTTGGTCAGCATTTAGTAATTAACCTATATATAAATGGCGGAACACGATGTATATCAAATCTGCAGTTCATTATGTAAAGAAGACTATTAATGTCAGAGATAATGTTTCTTATGACAAGATAATATGTTCCTTAAGAAATCTAGTATCTTACTCTAGTTGCTTAATTTTCAAATAATGATAACACCTTCCACTTTGTCTCCCACTGAATTCCTCTCTGTGTTGTCGTTTCCTGTATGTTCATCACTATTTCACTGTCAAAAAAATTATTTCTCTTTCTCCGGAGACTATACTGCATGTACTACCTATGAATTTTTATACGTCATGCATCAGAATAGATCCTTGTCATATGAATTTCGGGTGCGATTTCTCTTAGTGTAACAAAAACCCGACGAGGATTACAGATTTTTAAGCCTGATAAACCGTTTAAGACGGTGATCACCTGGTCATGCTGTAAGTCGTATCCTGAAGATGTCAAAGTTATACCAGAATAATGTAGTGAATATTAGCGCCGTGTTTTCCCTTCAAATATACAATATACCATATGAAATGACAATTGGAGCATGTAGAAGATGAAAATTATCACCATACGAGTTAGTGAGATTTCAAATGCAGCCGTCAGCATCTGATTACTTCTTGAATAACCAGATTTTATTGGCGCCGTACAAGTGGTTATTGGGAGTTTTCATTGGTATAAAGGTAATATTCCAAAACTGTGATCCAGGATGCATCGCGGCTGAAGCCTATGGGTAATAAGCATTTACCAAAGTAATATGGGGGAAATGACTCCAAGCCTTTTTTCCTGAGTATTTTTCTATTCTATCCAACACATACTTAGGTTCATTTTATTAATGCGAAGGCAGTACTTCTATATTTCTCAGTGTGCTCCATTGAGTGACTAGTCAGGACTAATGTCGAAAAGGACAGCAACCATGTAATTTCACCATAAATCAAATATGTAATATAATTTAAATCAAACATATCCACGCCTGTAAACTGGTGTGTCCTGAATAGATAAGAATAAATATATTATTATTGACAGACTTGGCTTCGTCATAATGTTAGTAATATAAGAAAAATAGGAGGGCATAAGGAACGGGATCTTGCGGGACACCGGATAAAATAAATAAAGTAGCGGAAGACTTTTCTTCGTATGACATATGCTGTCTTCTATAAGAAAATGAGGCTTCGTGCATTTATTCTTCTTTCCTAATTTGAATGAAGAGAGAACAACAATTTCCACAGGGTCATATGTTACCGTCATTTATTTCGTTGACTTCTCATCAGCTGCTTACAGACTAAATAAATTATCAAGTTAATTTACGGAAAATTTCTAACATACATGCAAATTTTACATGATGTCAGTTGACAGGAAGTTCCGAACTTAGTTTATAGTGCTCATAAAATGAAGAATGCAACTACGTAAAATCCAGCATCCTGTCTATGTCAACGCAAGCTAATTCTGGAAAAGAGGCCGATGTATAGACCCGAAGACAGATTTGTGAACAAGCACACTGAACATATTCGGCATCTCTAAATTAGAGACAACATCGTGATGTGAGATAACAGTGGCATCCAGTGTGCTCACTATGCTCATAAGGAAATTTTTTGGGTAGTTGAAATCCACCAGTGATGGTTTAGGTTTAAGTCAAATGGGTTCGTCATTGCTTTCGAAAATTATGAGGTATTTTCGATAGGTCTACACTTAACGTTTGGCCCACTTGAAGATTTAGGTACAGGAACAATTATAATATCCTCCCAAGAAACAGGCGCAATTCTAGTGGAAAACTATTTGCTCTGCATAGCAAAGAGAGGGCGACATAAAATGTCTCCTCATTCCCTGAGGATAATGAGAGATACATTATCTACAACAAAAGACTGAGTAGGTTCGAAGGATTGGAGACACTTGAGGTCATATTTACATAAAAACAGGAGAAGTATTTAAGATTATAACATGTGCTGAACAACA